TGTGTGTGTGTGTGTGTGTGTGTGTGTGTGTGTGTGTGTGTGTGTGTGTGGAGAGAGGTTGTTTTTGGTGACATTTGGGGACAATTTTAGGACAAAATGCCTACATTTGGGGACAACTGGTGCATTTGGGGACAAAAGTCGAATCCCCATTTGGTTTAAATACCATTGGTGGGTTGGGTTTAGGACCAAGGTGTGAATTGAGTTTAGGTTAGTTTTAGGGTCAGGTAGGTAGGTACCTGTGAGGTTAGCCTTAGGGTTGGTGGTCAGGGTTAGGCTGTAGGAATGTAATGGAAGTCAATGGAATGTCCCCAAAGGGATAGCTGTGCAAACATGTTTGTGTGTGTGTGTGTGTGTGTGTGTGTGTGTGCGTGTGTGTGTGAAGCTGCTGTCTTTATTGGCGCATGCGGTTGAGAAATATTTCCACCTTTAGACGTAATAAGTGACTGTAAACACAGAGGAACTATGAGTTTGGTAGAACTTTGAAATTGAAATAGCTGATGTGAAGAAGCAGCACCGCAGGTTTCTGCTGTGATATCATGACATCTCTCATTCAGCTGCATGGCTCAGGATCTACTGTAAAACACCTGACTGTAATTTGTTCGGTGTAACACCAAAACCAACCTGCCAATTCTCCTTGTGGTGGTTCAACCTGCAGTACAAGAGCTGACATTGTTCTGCAAATATACGCAGCAACAAATCTATTGTCTGCATCTTGTGGAGCTGAGGAATCATCAGGTGAGTTGTTCAGAATTAATCTGCTGAGCTAACAGTTTTTAATTTTTTTTCTCTGTGAGAATTAAAAGTTTTTTTTCAGACAATTCACACCTGTTTTATTCTCCTCAGCTGTTTGCACCTCGCAGACGTGCACTCTCTGACCTGTTTACATCTACTGAATAAAATATAAAACTTACAGTTTACAGTGCACTGAGGTTGTTTGGAACATTTTTAGGCCGCTTTGTTTTCTTGTCTAAGGTTAAATGAGGTTCAGTTTCGTCCATCAGTTTTAAACAATGAGTTATGCAGAGGAACAAGTASAACGTTCTGGAATGGCCATCTCAGTCCCCAGACCTGAATATAATTGAAAATCTGTGGTGTCACTTAAAGAGAGCTGTCCATGGTCAGAAACCAYCAAACCTGAATGAACTAGAGATGTTTTGTGAAGAATGGTCTCACAATCCAGACTCTCATTAGAAGCTGTAGGATGCATTTAGAGGCTGTTATTTCTGTGAAAGGAGGATCTACTAAATAATGAGTTAAGGTTATTTTTTGGTGCCCAAATTTAAGCACCTGCCTAATTTTGTTTAAACTATTATTGCACTTTCTGTAAATTACATAAACTTCATTTCACATCTCAAATATGACTGTGTTTGTCCCCTATATGATATATTTAAATGATTTTTTAAAAATCCAAACAATCAATGATTTATAAAGGTAAATCAGGAAAATTAGCAAGCCTGCCCAAACTTTTGCACTGTTGGTGCAAACACACTGTACGTAACAACACTGTGAGTTTAGATGAAACCCTGCAGCCTTTGAGAACAGAGAAATAATTTTTAATACTTTTGGTATTTTCTCCTGATTTTTAAGGAATAATGTGTTGTTAGCTTGTTGACTTATAACTAGTTGGCTTCCCAGAATATTCAGTTGTTGTATATCACCACAATGTTTAACAGAAAGGGGGAGCTGGTCACCCCTGACATTTACCTCTCTTGATATCAAATCTACTACAGGTTCCCCAGGATAACAGAACAGAGCTATTGATATCTGTAAAGAAAATATTGATTATTTCACAGAAATGCTTTCCAAAACCCAAGTGTTCTAAAGTTCTATAAATAAAAGGATGTTCAATTTTATCAAAGGCTTTTCAGAAATCTAAGAACAATTTGAAACCATTATCCTGAATTTTGTCACTATGATCTAATAAATCTAAAACTAACCTAATGTTGTTGTGGATAGAGCAATCTTTTAAAAAGCCAGACAGAGTTTCACTAACATTTTGTGCAATCCTTGTTGGGGATGTATTTGATATTTGAGTCATAATTCAAAAGTTTTTGAAGGAAGTATACAATGTTTGGTTTGGTGTTGGCACATTTGGCTTTATGAATGTGGTATTTCCAGAGGAGCAGCAACAGCTGAAATGGGTTGTCTCTTTGTCCATAACTTTATTATTAAAAACATTATAATGTCTCTTTCAACAAATGTGATTCTTTGCCTGTTGTTATGCTGTATAGTGTTGCAAATCAGTCCAGAATATCTTACTGTATGCACACTGAAATAATAAATGTGGAATTGTTTCAACATAGAATTCACAGAAAGAACAAGATTAAAGAGTGTATTCAGACCAGGAAAGTCCTTTGGTCCACTTGTTTGGTCCGGACCAAAAGTGGACTTTATTTTTTTCGTTTGGTGCGGTTTGCATTCACATTGTGCTTTTTTGCAAATGAACTATAAGTTGTAAACAAAACCATGAGGCTGACGATCATTGCTCCCATTGGACAGAAATGATGGGGGCGGGGCTGAGCCACAGACCC